ATTGTCTGTTGCTCATATGCTATGATCTTCTGCTGACGTAGCAGTCATCTGCTCACAATGCTAGAACATTAGTGGGAGCACTGGCTTGCCACAAATTTCCTTCTCATACTCCCCCCAAAATTTCTTTTCAGTCCTTATTATCCTAGAATTTTCTATTGGATCTGATGATCCTTCCATTATTGTTTCAAAACCCTTTAATTTGTTTTTATGGAGTACTTCCTATGTTCAGATAAGGAGGTGGAGGGGATACAATGATGATTAAGGCAGCCTCTATTTATAGTTGAATACAAGGGAATAAAGGAAAACCTTTATATGAGGCAGAAAAAAGTTTTCTGTCTGGCTTCTTTCACTTAGAATGATATTATCAAAGTTCATCCATGTTGTAGCATTTATCAGTACTTCATTCCTTTTTATGGCTGAATATTCCATTGTATGAAAAGACCTGTTTATTAATTCATTCAGCAGTTGATGACATTTGGTTGTTTATACTTTTTGGCTACCATGAATAATGCAGCTACGAATACTCATGTATAAGTTTTGTTGTACACATGGTTTTAATTCTCTTCAGTAAATACCTAGGAGTAGAATTCTGGGTCATATGGTAACTTTATGTTTAACCTTTTGAGGAATTGCCAGACTGTTCTCCAAAGTAGCTGCATCATTTTGTAATCCCACCAGCAAGTATGTTCTGATTTCTCCACATCCTTGACAACACTTGTCATAGTCTGTCTTTTTAATTTTAGTTTAGTGGGTGTAAATTCTTGTTGTGTTTTTTATTTTTATTTCCCCAATGACTAATGATGTTGAGCACCTTATTATGTACTTCGCAGCCATTTATATATCTTGTTTGGAGAAATGTCTATTCAGACCCTTCGTCCATTTTCCAACTGGATTATTTGCCTTCTTACTTTTTAGTTGTAAGTGCTTTTTATATGTGTCTAACCAAATATATGATTGGCAAACATTTTCTCCATTCTGTGGGTTGTCTTTTTACTTTCTTGATAGTGTCTTTCAAAGCACAAAAGTTTTCAATTTTTCCAAAGTCTGATTTACCTATATTTTCTTTGGTTACATGTGCTTATGGTATATCTAAAAAACCACTGCTTGACTCCAGGTCATGAAAAATTATACCTGTATTTTCTTTAAAGAGTTTTATAGTTTTAGCTCTTACATTTAGGTCTATGATCCATTTTTAGTTAATTTTTATATGGTCTAAGGTAGGGGTCCAACTTCATTCTTTTGCATGTGAATATCCAGTTGTCCCAGCACCACTGGTCGAAAACACTAAGAATAAGTAAGATTTAATAGAATAGCATGAGCAAAAGCATAGAGGCATTAACACATAGATTTCCAGGAATGGTTCAGCTTGAGTCAAGGATTGGACAAATAGGGGTATTTAATGGGAAATGGAGAAAGGTATGTAGGTTCAGATTATGAGGGGGCTTTGAGTGCCCAGCGTTGGAGAACTACAAAAGATTCTTGAGTAGGATGACAACAGAATCAGGCTTTTAGAGGATTAATCTAGCTGCAGACTATACACTGAATTGGAATGGGGTAAAAACTGTAAGTAGAGAGGTCAGTTAGTGGAGCTTCTACAGTGGTCCAGGTTGGAGTCCACAACTAAGGCTGTGATAGTGAAAGCACTGAGACAGTGAGAAAGAAAAGAGGGAACTGGTATGTAAAAAATATTATAGAGGTAAAATACACACAGGTCTTAATAACTGATTGGATGCTGAGAATGGATTGAGAGAGATTGAGGGGGGAATAGTAAGTTCGGCAGGGAAGATGAGTTACCTTTTAAACATACTGTCTTTACAATTTGAAACATTCCCAGAGAGAAGTCTAGCATTCATTTGTAAAAGCAGCTCTGGATCTCAAGATGGAAGTCAGGGCTGGAGGTAAAGATTTGGGAGACGCTGCATAATCACAGTGGTAAGACCCTGGGCATGAATGAAGGATTCTCTCCTTTCCCCCATCTCTCTAGATTGCTGTTCCTTCTGAGTTTCCTCAGATGATACTTCTTCCTGCTCCCATCCCTAAAAGTGAGTTCCTTTGTTCTTTCATTCAACAAATATTAAATGCTTACTATCCTCAGGCACTGTTCAAGGCACTGATAATACTTGGTGAACAGAACAGACTTCCCCACCAAAAAGCTACCTTAATGCAGCTTACAGTCTAGTGGAAGGAGACAAAGAATATACAAATAAAGTTGTAAAACCTAGTGTTCAGATGATGAAAAGTGCCGTGTTAAAAAAAAAAAAAGAAGCAGAGAAAGGAGGTGGGGGGAGTTGTAATTTTAAACAGATGATCCAGGAAAGCCTCAGGGAGAATGACACATTTGATTAAAAAGCTAATGCTGGTGAAGGAACAAGCTATGTGGATATTTGAGTAAAAAGCATTCCTGGTAGAAAAGACAGCAAGTGCAATCAATGGCTCAGAGGCTGGAGAGTGACTAGGGTGTTGGAGGAACAAGGGGAGTGTGGCCGGAGCAGAGTAAGTGACGGGAGAGTGGTAGGAGATTAGGCCAGAGGCATAGCAGGGGGCCACATTGTGTAGGGTCTTATAAACCATGATAAGAACGTGGCGTCCACTCTATGTGAGATTAAAAAAAAAACCGAGGATTTTGAGCAGAGAGTGGCAAAATTTGATTTATATTTTAAATGGATCAGTCTTCAAAGGCACCAATCATTTTGAGCATAGCACATGGGAGAATAAGAGTGGAAGCAAGGAGATCAGTTAGTAAGCCTTAACAATAAGCCAGGAAGGAGATAATGACAGCTTGGACCAGGGTGACAGCAGTGAAGGTGCTGAGAACTGGTTAGAGTCTGGATATATTCTGAGCCAGAGCTGGCAGGAGTCGATGACAGACTGAATATAGGATGTGAGAGAAAGAAAGGAGTCAAAGATGATTCCAAGATTTTTGCCTGGCAACTGGAAGAAGGAACTGCCCTTTCCTTAGGTGGGGCAGATCATGGAATGGGCAAGTTTGAAATGGTGGTAGCGAAGATCAGGAGTTCAGTTTTGGATGTGTTAAGTTTGAGCTGCCTATTAAAGACAGAAGTGGAGATGTCAAGAATATAGCTGAGTATGCAAGTCTGGTGTTTAACAAAAGGTCTGGGAATAGTTGGGAGGGTCTAGAAAGATGTAAACCCTTTGCCTGACACCCAACCTGGGTAGCATCATCCTCAACTGTATGCATGGGGAGTGGGAAGCTTGTCCCTCTGTCCAGTACTATGCTGCTTGCACGATGTTCTATAGAGCTGCCTCCATCTCCCACTGTTTGTTAGCATCTTTCCTTGAACCATATAACTGTCCCCAGGTGGCACTCATACAAACACTTAAATTCCTTCCTCTTTGGCTCTCCTCCTACCCTCTCACCTTACACACCCACTCTGCTTCCTGTAATCCATATTCTATTTTGTTCCCCCAAAGGACATCTTGCCATTGTCTCATGAATCAAGAACGAACTCCTCTTTCTTTGGTACTCAGCACAAGGGCATACAGTCTTTTCTTCATACTGGATATTCTAGATATAAGTAACCCATGTTATATGGTCCAAATATGTCTGCAAATATCAAGGGGGTTAACAACCCGAGTCAACCTATGGGAATATTGTCCAGATAAGGCCTAGAGTCATGTCCCATGGCAGGTGCTCAATTAGATCTGATTGATTCATCAATTGGGCTGGACAAGCACATCATCCAAATCTTTACATACTATAGGATCTTCAAGGAAAGCAGAATCCTCTAGCATCTCTGCCCAACTCAGTATCCTTTCACAGGAAGTCTTGACCCAGGCTCACAGCAAAGCTTTCTCCTTTGGCTGCCACTCAGTTTTTGTTTTGTTGCTTTGTTTTCCTTCTTGATACTGTCTGTCTTGCGGAACGGGAACTAGTCTCTGTCTGGCCTGGTAACATCCAAAAATCTTTAAAAGTTATCCCTCACATAAAGACTGCCCTTCTGAGCCACAGCAAGCTCAGCTCCTTTCTCTGAGGCAAAGGACCTGGTTGACCTCTAACACCAGTCTTTAAGGATCAGAAATTTATCTCCAAACTCATAATGGCTTTGGCAATTGTGAAGTCATTCAACTCATTTTGAATTTATTTTTGTGCTTTGCTGGTACTACTGTCCCCGAGAGAGTAGTGCTTCTTTTTACTTGACTTAATTTTGCCTGCCAAGCTTTGAAAAGTAGGCATTGGTTTTGCTAGACTCTGTAGTTTTTATGCTTTTCTAAAATTCTGTTACATTCCTTTCCGAATCTTTTGCATCTTCTCCCATAAGGTAGCCTATCAGTTTGTTGCTTTTCAAAAACAGCATTCATGAAGGAAGAGTCAATCGATGTGGCAAAATTTATTGTCTTATTTTAAGAAGTTGCCACAGCTATGCCAGCCTTCAGCAACCACCACCCTGATCAGTCAGCAGTCATCAGCATCGAGGCAAGACCCTGCAACAGCAAAAAGATTACAACCCACTGAAGGCTCAGTTGATGGGTGGCACTTTTTCACAATAAAGTGTTTTTAAATTAAGGCAGGTACATTTCTTTGAACATAATGCTATTGCACACTTAACAGACTACAGTATAGTGTAAATATAACTTTTATATACTCTGGGAGACCAAAAAATTCACGTGGCTGGCTTGGTTGTGACATTCACTTTCTTGTGGTGGTCTGGAACCACACTGGTAGTATCTCTAAGGTATGCCTGCATGTTTGCTGAAGTAATCTTTATAACTTTCAGCAGCAGAAATGAGTTGGTGTATCTCTACTATGCTCTGTGTTTTTTCTCTCTTCTAGGTCAGTGAACAATTTCCTGATGACTGGTCCAAAGGTAAGAAAAAAATTCTTTTGATTTATTTGGATTTCATTCAGTTTCTTGACTGAAGACTATACACGTCGATTTCCTTATGTCCACATCTTTCATTATTCTATATATATATAATAGACGGAAAAACTGTGGCACAGAAAGGGTTAGGGACACACCCCAAACCACACTGCAAACTAGTGTCAGCACCAGACCAAGAACTCAGGATACTGATTCTGAATTTATGGCCAGAATTTCCAGAGTCAGAAAAGTTTTCTTTCACAGTGTCAGTCTGCAGTCATTCATCCTTCCCAGTGCAGGATGGGATGCAGTCTTCCATCTTCAAAATCCTGGCAGTGTGCTGCGTGATCTCTAAGGACACTTCCAACTACAAAATGTTCTTTCCTAAGCTAGTAATAGGATGAGGACCGACCGCTGAAAATTCATGAGTTATGAAATTGGGAATCATTTTGGAGTGACAGGATAGTATAGTGAATGAATGTAGTGAGGCCTAGAGTCTAAGAAAACTGATTTTTCAGTCTTACTGCTACCCTTTGCTCATGGTGGGACCTTGGGAAAATTGCTTTACATCACCTCTCTGAGCCTCAGGTTTTTAATCTATAAAATGGTACCTATTTCACAAGGTTATTTGTGATGGTAAATAAGACAGCATATTTGAAGTGCTCACTGTGTCATTATTTTGGAGAGATGGGAGGGTCAGCAGAATGGGCGGTGCTTGGCCTCTTTAGGGCAAATGCCTCCCAAGTTCAGCGGCTGTGAGTCTGAATTTGACCCCTGTGTCCCTGTAGGCTTACCTGATCTACTCCAGCAGCGTGGCAGCAGGTGCCCAGAGTGGTATTGAAGAATGCAAATACCAGTTTGCCTGGGACCGCTGGAACTGCCCTGAGAGAGCCCTGCAGCTGTCCAGCCATGGCGGCCTTCGCAGTGGTGAGGAAAGCCTTGGCCACAGCTCCCTGGACCCCCTGACCACAGATTAGAGCCCCACTCTCCAGGGATGGCCCCCTGACTCTTCTTCACCTTTATTCCTCATCTGGTCTCTGCTCTCAGGTCCTCTTTGGGATCTCCTCTGCTCCTTCTCCAGCTCCTCTTTCCTATCTTAGAGCTTTTTTCTTTCTTCCCCAACATCTTCACTACTGAACAAAGGGACCCGCCTCACCCCCAATCTTATGCCATCCTTGGCCTCCCAGTTGGCTAATGGCTTCCTAAAAATACAAGTAACATCAGGAGGTAGGGGTTAGAAATCTTCAGATCTCTTAGCCCCTTCCTTCAGGAGGCTCAGCAGAGAGGCACAGGGCAAGTGGGAACTAACTTGGAGACCAGATTTCCAGGGAGAAGATAAAAAGTGGCCATGCAAGTAAATGGAAGAGCTGCCAAGCAGAGGTTCCTCTCAGGACTAGCTAGTGCATGTCTCTGACTTCAGTGCTCCAGGAGGAAGTGGGGATGGGTTCTTTACAAACTGGCCTTCAGATTCATCTCTTCCCCCATTTCTTTCTTGAGCTTTTCCCACCTATGTTAACAATAATCTAGCCACCTAGTCACAAAATGTGTGACCTGAAAGGATGGGAAGGGAGAGGAGCAGGCCTGAGACCAGGGCTGGAGCAGACCTTGGAAGAGAGTAAAGTACATTATAAACATGGGGAAATAGGAAGGAGTTGGGAAAGGAGGGTATACTGATGATATTAAAGGTATGTCTTTGGGCTGAAACTCCTCCCTCTAACTCACTCGATTTTCGGTTCCTGCCAGCTAATCGGGAGACAGCATTTGTACATGCCATCAGTTCTGCTGGGGTCATGTACACTCTGACTAGAAACTGCAGCCTTGGGGATTTTGACAACTGTGGCTGTGATGACTCCCGCAACGGGCAACTGGGTGAGTAGTGATATTGGGGTGGGTAGGGCAGCCCAGTAAAGTTCACTTAAAGAATAAAAAGCTTGGTAGTGGGGAGGGTATAGCTCAGTGATAGAGGGTGTGCTTAGCATGCACAAGGCCTTGGGTTCAATCTCAGGTACCTCTGTTAAAATAAACAAAATAAATAAAATAAACCTACCCCCTCCCCAAAGGGGGAAAAAGATGACTGCTTAAAAAAAAATACAGTTACCAACCCAAGACTGGGGGGAAAAAAGCTTGGTGGATACTTGGTGGTGTGGAGAAGAGTTGTATTCTCGGTCTGAGGAAAATCAGGGCGAACCAGTTTGAGCCCAAACCCTACAGTGACAAACCAGGGTAAATGTAGCTGGGGGCACTTCTCTGAGTGAATGGTTTCCTTAATTTAAACACAATGATAAAGGAAGAACACTCCCTGCGACTTCAATCCTATTACTGTCTCAAACACAGGGGGACGCCCTTCCATGCTGCCTATCCCTGTCCCCTTTCCATTCTCCGCTGTCCTCTCCAATCCTCTCTGCCCTCTAGCACAACTTCCAACTGCTGTTCCATATTATTTCAATTGCGCCTCTCTCTCCCTTAATGCTCGCGCTTTCCTCACCTTATCCGCGCCATTTTGTCCCTTCCGGACGTCAATCGCTGGGGAAGCACGTGCACACTCTGCCCAAAGGCCAGAAACACTGCAGTAGACGGACGCGCAGCTAACTTGCTGAGACAAGCTACTTACTTCAGCTACTTGCGTCAGCTACTTGCGTCAGCTACTTACGTCATGAAGTCCTGAGCAGGGGATTGGCTACGGCTGGAAGTAGGCGCGTAAAGTGGCAAAAACAAAGCTAGGCTGAAACACAGGGCACTCACTCAACCGTAAGCCTTCCCTACCTCAGGTTCCCCAAACCCACCTAGACCCAGCAGCCCAGGAGGCTCCGCGCCTGCCTGCTCAACTGCCTTTCTTCCCACTGCACTTTTCCAGGGGGCCAAGGCTGGCTGTGGGGAGGCTGCAGCGACAACGTGGGCTTTGGAGAGGCAATATCCAAGCAGTTCGTCGATGCCCTGGAGACAGGACAGGATGCCCGGGCAGCCATGAACCTACACAACAACGAGGCTGGCCGCAAGGTGAGTCCTGCAGTCCCTGGAGTCAGGCAGCTGGCTCCATCCACTACCAGCCCTAGGTGCAGACAGCTCTTTAGTTCATTTACCAGGTTGGAGAAACGAGGTATCAGGCTGGCGGGCCACGTAGGCTAGCTAGACGCCTCGCAACCCTCAGAGGTAGTGTGAAGGAAAAGCCCAGCTGGGCTAACAAGCTAAGTCACAAATCTAAGTGCAACAAGTGTCGGATTGCTGATCTGAGTTTTGCTGGGCTAACTCATAAATCTAAA